CACTTTCCTCAACCTTAGACTTCGATTATACATCTCCTTACGCACAGTTAGGCCAAACTCTGAAATGAAATTGTGCATATTCAGCAAAGATAAGTTGGGGGTGTTTCACAAAGGGGAAGTTCACACTGCTTTTCCTTGAACAAAACCATCTGGCCACCACTCTACCTGGAATTCTGCCTCTGAATCCACTGATTGAAGTGGGATGTTGTTGTGACTGTGAGAAGGTGGAGAATGTGAATTTCCTTGCACTATCTTCTTAACAGCTGCTGACAGCTGCTTAGCTGAAACACCCAATGAGGACAATAATATGGTCTCAGAAGAAATTTGCAGGATGGCCTCTGTTATCTCTTCTAATTTAGATTTATCCATGGAAGTGCTTTCCCCATGTCTCTCAAGTTCAATGAAATCTTCTGATGAAAATTCATAATCCTCAAGGCAACCATCTTCAATACTTTCTGTCCACATACTATCATCTGGGATGATGTAGTCCACCAAGCAGGAAGGCTCACGGTTCTTATATATTCGAAAAGGCACATCATTAATTGTGCTGTGCCACTTGCAATTCAAAAGGTCTGCAATAGCAGAGAGTAGTAAAGGCCAGACATTGGCCTGAAGATCTCTAGGCAACTGTTGTAAAAACCTTGCAAGTAACCTTTTGACTTGCTTGTTGAGATTTTCTATCTGGCCTTGAGACTGTGGGTGGTGTGGCCTACCATGAACCATGCAAACTTCAAATTCTTTGCAAAGTTTTTGCACTACCTCTCCAATGAATTCACCACCATTATCTGACTGAATTACAGTAGGTGACCCTTCCTTGATGAACAAGGCCTTCAGAACGGCATACACTTCTTCTGCAGACTTTGTTTTTAACGGGAACAGCCAACAAAACTTCGAGAAACAGCACTTGACTGTTAGAATGTAACGGTAGCTCCAACAATTATTCTGCATAAAACTACGGTGCTTCTTTGGGGCCATGTCAATAAGGTCACACTGTAGTCTGGAATGGGGGCGAAAAGATCTAATGGGGACAGGAGGGGGAAGCACTCGCATTGGCAAGGGGTTGTTGACCTGACATGTTGAGCATCGAGCCAAGAAGGCCCTAATAAGGTTGAAAATACCCTTAAATACATATTTTTGATTGAATAGCCTACTCAAGGCATTCACCCCTCCAGGGAGGCAAGTATCCTCTCCAAGGACACCTTTAATGTAGTGTAAACTGCTTAATACACCATCTACAGCCTCTCTGTAGAGAAGTTGCTTTGTAGTCTTAAGCTCTCCTTGAACATAACTGTTGACCAAAACAACAAGGATGCCATTTTTGTCACGGACAATCTTACCTTCTTGGTCAAGTTTTAGTGTGTAGACTGGTCTTTTCAGGCTACGTCGTTCAAAAAATCGTCTTTTATACTGATTAAAGAAAGCATTTAAGTTTTCATTCTTCTCTGAAGAAATACCATCTTTTGGGAAAGATGTATATCCTGGAGTACAATACAAAACTGTATCTGCCAGTTTTTCATAAAAATATTTCTGGCATCCATTGAAGCTACAATCTGCTAAATAAAATATAGTATTTGTGAATAAGTAATAGTTATAGAAGATTGCTACCTTTAACATACATTTATTGATTAACCCTTTACACCCTAACATCATTATGCATATTCTCCATACTGTTCTCTATACATTTCCTGAAGCCCTGACAAAGAGAGTTTTTATAAAAATCAAGAGATTTATAAATTGTTGGTCATTTCCTTTATTCTCATGAACTCAATGTTTGATTCAGGGGAGATATTGTAAGGAGAAATTAGAAGCTGGTCACTTTTAGGGGTTAAAGGGTTAAGATTTTTTCTTCCATAACCGGTAAAACAGATCCTATTTAATGGTTCAGAGATGACCTTTCTACAAGTAACTGGAATTGAGGCAATGGAAGATATTACTGCATGCTCAGTATATTGTTGCACAAAAGTATTTAAAAGTTTCCTGTTTCTGAATTTCAGTAGTGGATAACTGTTGTATTCCAGCACTGTTATTTTCCAGCCCCTCTCAGCTGTTCTCAGTTTCTCAGCAGGAGTTAACTATTGTATTCCAGCACTGTTAATTTCCAGCCCCACACAGCTGTTCTCAGTTTATCAGCAGGATTTACTGTTGTATTCCAGCACTGTTAATTTCCAGCTCCACACAGCTGTTCTGAGATTATTAGCAAGGAATAAATATTCTTTTCCAGTCCTTACTTGTATTTTCAGTTGCATACTATTCTTCCCACATTTCTTAATAAATGAACCTATATTTAGTGGACACTTCTATATCACAGACACTGGAGAAGGTTCTCAGAGAAGTTACCTTTGATACTTTTATAACTATAAAAGTAATAGCTTTCACTGCAATTTAAAGTGATTTAATTTTTGAAATACAGTTAACTTCTCCACTAACCCCACAACACCTGTGCAAAGCATGTCAATTACAAATAACAAATATGGAGAGTTGCAAATTACTTTCAATACTTTATAGTGCAAGCAATGTATTCCCTACCGTCATTTTTCAGTGTTTTCTTTCCATTTACAGACTCAAGTGGCTGTAATGAAAAAAACAAATTCAAACAATTTTACCTCACTTCTTAAAGCAAGAAGTCACAAGACTAAACAACAAGTGTAGAAACTTAGACATACTTAGGCTAAAACTCTGATTCAAAAATAAAAAAATGACCCCCCTGCAAAAAAAAATTGTACCACTGTCTTTGATACCATCCTGTCACTCTCCTATTTTTTTTTTCACTTTTCTTTACTTCTAATTTGTAAACACATATAATGCTTCTTCTCAATGGGAAGTGTCTTCAAGAAAACTCAAATAACGAAACAGTATTGGCAAGAAAGATAGCCAAATGAACAGTAGTATCGAATTAGAGCTTAGAGCAATTAAACAACATGAATGGCTGCTACACCCCATTCTTTTTTCCCAGGTCTACATGAACTAGATTTTGAGCACAGAATGCAATACCTCACCAAACATCTGCTATGATGACTCACTTAAAAGTGTGCATGATTATCACCTCTTGCTGAGATAGCACACTTCACTTCAATGTTTTTATTACTACACATATGGGGGCTTTGGTAAGATTGTGGAAAGGAGGGACAACGTTTGAGCAGCTGGGAGGGACCAAAATGACAGTGTGACAGCCATTTATTCCCACTTGGATGGCAAAGTCTGGGGAACCTTCCCCTGGAAATTTAAAAGTTCAGATGTCCAAAAGGGTCCATTTTAGGCCACTATTTCCCAAGTTGGCTAAAAATTATAGCTGCTACGAGGGTGAGTATTGACACTGAATTAATGAATAGAGTACCTTTTATGTAACTAACTATATAAACATTATACATAGCAATGTTGTCTCTGTGATGATGTCTGTGTGGTCTTGTTTGATTTTTACTTTTGCCTTGCTCAAAAAATGAGATTGTGCTGAGGACGACATTAGATTTTGGGGTACAGTGCTGTGATTTCTAACACAGTATCTTTAATGCAATTACTGATGGCAAAGGAGTTAATCAGTACTTCAATGATAAATGTAGAGCATGGCAATTAATGAAACGATCAATGTCTAATCATGAACTAGCTCTTTGTCAGTGACAAGTTCACAAAATTAATATTGGTGAAGGTTACTTCATACAACAATTACTGTAAACCACCATACCAAAAAACATGGTGACTGGTACATTCAACCAGAACTCTTTGTGCAAGAAAATACTGGAACCAATCATAAAAACAAGCAGTAAAGGTCTGAAAATTTAAACCTTGCATACATAATGTTGTTGTTTTGTGAAATATTGCTTTCTACGAGTGCCTTAGCCTAAGAGTAATAGTAAAATGCACAGGTGCCATATTTGTCTGTGAGTGGATTGAATCTATTGGGTGAACACCAGAAAAAATAGTAATATTGATACAAATAGGCTGAGGGTTTAGTATAGGTATGCTGTGGTTTAGTTTTATCCTTAGTTTAATTCTTTTACTTTTAATAGAGGCCAAATTGATAGTGACACATCATCTCATCATAACTTAGGCTAGGAGCTAAATTTTATCTTTCTTTACACAAAATACATTTTTCATTCATATCATTAACAAAACCAAAGGAAAATGATGTTTATACCAAGGACAAAAATTAAGCACAACATATACCTTTTTATAACTAGTGCATAATTCGCCAAGAAAATGTTTAGAATAGAGCTTACCACCTCATCAGCACTTTTGTTTTCTTTGCTTTGCTGCTGGTTCTCATCCATGCCTGTATGAATGATATTTAGTAAGGGTGAAAGGATTGGTATTTTCTTAGCAAAGATAGTTGCAGAGAGTTTCTCCACTAATATACAGATCGCCAAATGCTCACAATGAATGCCAACAAGACCAAGTTCTTGCTAACACATGTAGGAGCAATAATTGCTAATAGTAGGCAATAGTCTGTATTGAATTAAGTATTCATTTCTGCATGAATTAGTGTTTATTTCATTTTAATGTTTGTGAAACATAGCTGAAAAAGTATGGATAATGTGGTAACATATAACATACATATTGTTATCATATTCCTTATAATTTGGTACAGGGGACTTTACTCTAAATTGATCAAAATAAAGAAAGTGGCATATGTCAGCCACTGATTTAAATAGCAAAGCACTAATTATTAAGTGAAGAGTAATTTTGCTGCAATTCTGTCCCTTCTGGGTGAGCAAAGAGAATGATTTAATATATTGTAACCCAACTGTTACTTGTTGGAGAGCATTGGGAGACAGCACCCTATCCTTTATGAAAGAGACCAGATCTTCATCATACGAGTTAGCAGTTTGTGAGTTAACCTCCCAGGATATGTGATATTTGACATCAACCATACCAGAGGTTGAATTTTTGCGTAGTCCCATACATTTACAATGAATACATGTCTTCCACTGTATCCATAATAGCCATCATTGTAGGCACAATGAGATGGAGAAAATCACACATTTTTGGGCATTGAAACACCGAGATCTGCCCTGTTTTTCAATTATGTAACATCTAGTTTTACATGTCCCACGCAAAATATAAAAATCAGCCCTCGACACTGAAGGATTCAATGAATCCAAGTTAGTAGTTACTCGCACGCTTCGCCATGCTGTCACATGAAATCTACAGTATTAAGCCCAAAACTTGAACGTGATCTTTGAAGAATGGTTGTAATATTTGAATTTAACAAAATACTAACATAAAATGCAACCGAAACCTTACCTTCCTTTAGTAGTTCCGACAAAAAAGCACAACTTCGATCACCAGCACACTCCAAACCAATAAGGGAAGCTACGTCAAATTCTCGTCTTCCTAACCTTTCCAACGTATCGAAGAAAATTTCACTGATACTTCGCGCTTAAAAACGCAACAAGAATATTAATCTTTCAACAATCCGAAGTGTCCCAAAAGGCATCAAGGATAAGCCCATGAAACAAGAATAGCCCATAAAATTCTCAACCTTCGAGCGCGGAAAACTTAACGATAGTCTCACAATTTTGCATTGCATCCCTCCCCTAGTTGGGAAGTGACACGCAGAAGACACGTTCACAACGCACTTTGATTGGAAGAAATAAAACCGCATTCTATTGGTTATTAGGTGTGAGGACATAACTACAACGGAAGACACAACTGCAACGCTACAACCCTCCTACCAGGGACAACTCTCCTTCATATAAACAGGGCCTAACGCTGCTTGCAGTGTCTTATTCACAAATATTAGCTAAAAAATTCTCACTCTTTGACTCTTTATCCGAAAAACGTTGTTAATATTTGTCACACGATTGATTACAGTCATTTTTGCTGCACATTGGACTTCAAAGAAAGACATTATATCCCCATACGAGTGCATTGTTAAGCTAAGCAAGCAGGAATTAAGTCAGCTTGGGAACATGATAAAAATGCGTGGAGTGTTCTTAAAAATTCCCAAGTACTTATACAACACAACAATACAGGAGGACAAGTTTTTATTTCTTTTATATAATGTTAAAGAAATTGTGCGCGCTACAACTTGTGACCAATCATAGAGTACGCAATTTGTCGATGATTTTACGTTGGTACTAAATTATAGTTGCACTGCGTTGTTAGGTATTACTTTCTCAAGCATCATATTTCCCACGATTTCAAGTCGAATTCTGTAAATGTTATCAGTGAACCAAGACAAAAACAGTACATAGGAACATTTGTTTAATGCTCCAGAAATGAGAATGTTGTCTAGCCTTAGATCATATACAGACTTGTCAAAACTACGGTACTTATTACAAATAGTCAGTAATCCTTGTCCGAATACTTAATATAAATAGTCCCACTTCAACATCACTATCATTGTCATCATCTTCATCACTTTCAAACTCTTCGCCTGCATTCCAGAAATCGAGTACATTGACTTCCTGGACATTGTCAACCATGTAATTACTAACTTCTGGAGAAGGTGTGATAAACTTTTTAAACATATTACAAGCACCAAAAAGTCGCACACGCTCATCGTACAGTTGCTTTGTATGGATGGAATAAAGACCTTTGAGATTGTTAGAATCTTGAAATTCATGGTGACTTGCCAACGAAGAGAGTCGACCTTCAATTTCAAGACATTGGTTGAAATATGCAGTGATAGTGTTAGACATTTCAGCGTCTTGATATTTCATCTCCTCCCAACATCGCGAAATCAAGTTCTGCGCATCAACTGCTGACCTTTTAATGCACACAGGAACACCGTCTTTGTTTGGGATGTTGATGGAGTAGATGGCACTGCTGACGTCACTAACATCTTCCCATGAAAGAGGGGAAAATGAAGAGTAATCATGTTGCCGGAGGATGTCTACAGAAGAGTTAAATACTTTTAACTGCTTGCGCAGATTGGTATTCTCTTTGGTGACGCCCTTACACAAACGTTTCGCCTGGGCTTGGCCATCTATAACAGAAACAGTTATATAAAAAAGTTAAGTTATTAATTGATATGTGGGTTGAGTCCGTTCTTGGTTGTCGTCTTTGCTCTAAGGGGTCGCCAGTTTTTCCTGACCCTCAGCTGACACTAACCCTCCATATTCCAATTCAATCTCATGCACGTAAACTTAAAAACGAGCTTTCTTGCTCCATGGGTAAACAAAGTCAATTAACATTTTTAAGTTTTACAAAGAAAAGTACACGTCAAGAGCGCGTAGTTCGATCTTTTTATACCTGTGTATTTCTTTTTTAGGGAAAGAAGAAACCATCTTCTTCTACCGGAAACCAGAATTAGATCCAGGGTCTGTTTTGCTCTTACAGCCTCACAAGTCACCAAACTGGACCTGTATTGTGGATCTGACGGAGACCAACGAGTTTGAATTTTGAACTGTTTTTCCATCTTCAGAAGACGTTCATGCAGACTGACGAGAGAACAACAAAATACACAACTTATTAAATACAGATGCATGGTATATTTTAGAAAATAGACTAGCATACAAATCCAGTTATTTAAAACAGTCAACAACATCAACGGATAAATTATGAAAAAGTGTATACCACGCGACCTTGCGACGAGGAGGAGGTAGCTTTTATAACCACAGGGTTCATAAAGGAGCTCAAGTTGCGAAAGGACGGAAGGGAATTGCCAGCAAAATCCTTAAAATACATAAGGTATAGAAGGAAGCATATATAATGGATTGGATTGCAATGAGATGACTGTAACCCACAAACCATTGAATTGTACTGAGATGATCCACAAATTATTGGATTGTAATAAAATGATTGTAATCCACAAATTATTGAATTGTAATGAGATGATTGTAATCCAAAAATTATTTACGTAATAACCATGTGCACCATGCGCAATGGCTTTACTGTAAAATTCCAGACTGAGGGATGAAATGTTTGCTTTATGGACTAAGCCTCTGGGTACGGTCCATAAAGCAAAAATTCAGCCCGAAGTCTGTTAAGTTATTTATTATATGCCTTCACATAGGCAAAGCAAGCGGAATAGAGAGAACATCTACATTGCCTATCATTTACGTCATAATTTCATCAGGGTAATAAACTTATGAAGAAAATCTTCTTCAGAACTCATATTTAAAGAAGAGATACATGTTTTGTTCAATGTTCAATTTTGTCTTTTTTCAACGAAGTTTCTTTCAGGGAAAGTCACTAAGTTCACTAGGTTTTGTGGGGGGAAAAATCTGTAATGCCCATAAGCAATTACCGGGGGATTCTGGACCCCTAATTAACCAATCAGAGTGCACGTACTATCGCAGCCATATAATAATGGATTGTAATGAGATGATTGTAACCCACAAATTATTGCATTGTAAGGAAATAATTGTAATCCACAAATTTTTGGATTGTTATGAGATAATAGCATTCACAAATGATTGAATTTAAATTAGATAATTGTAATCCACAAATTATTGGATGGTGATGAGATGATTGTAACCCATAAATTATTGGATTGTAATGCAAATATTGTAATCCACAAATAATTGGATTGTAATGAGATGAATGTAATCCACATTTTGGTTTTGTCCTCGGGTACCGGTACACAAGAGCCGATACAAAAGACCAAAAAATACATAACAGCTAACCAATGACTCCTAAACAAAGAAAATACAATGGTTATTCCTTTACGCACCGGTACAGCACCGGTGCACGAGGACAACTAGACAGTTCATCAGTTATCTGGAATGCGATGGATCGTTGTGGGACTATATATTAATACACATAAACATGCTAAATGTGACTTTATTTGTAGATTGGAATTTTTATTTTCAGTTCTCGAAATGACAATAATCTTAAATATAAAATAACTGTCATGATATTCATTGTAACGGATGGCGAGATGACTGTTAAGCCGCACATGCATGAATCACTATTGTGAATACTTCTACTTGTAGCCCGCAAATAAATGGCTCTCATTAATTTAAATGAGATGCACGATTACTGGTTTATAAAATATTGTGATGGTTTGCTTACCTATCGACCCGTGAATTTTTGAGAGGTAAATAAAGGCTTAGAAATATTTATAACTTATCGATCATATCCGATCATCAAATCATCAGACAAGTGCCTCGAACATTAAACAAAGTAGAATACCTTTTATTATTAGTGATACTCACCTTGAAAATGATCGATAAACCAAATTTACGACCAGAAAGGTGTCGGCTAATTGCACAGATAAAGCGTGTGAGCTTGCAAATAAAGGAAAAATATATCTCTTCTGAATCGATCGATCCGAATTAGCGCGCCAGTGATACGTAGATTACACACGACATTTTAGCGACTCATTCACCCCTCCCCCAGGTCTAGATTTGTCAATAGGTCTATCCCGATTACAATGCATTAATTGACTAGTTACAACGTCATTACAAGTCCAGTAGTTACTGGGTTACAACGTGAGGAACGGGTGACAACGAAGGACCGTAGCCGCTTGAAAATACCGCTGACTAGCACGCGTGTTGATCGCTTTGCGAGCTGTGACTGCATCGTTGCTCGGTCCCAGAAACCGTCAATTCCCCCCCCCCCCACCCCACCCATCAGTAGGTATACTATCAGTCGATAGTATACCTACTGTAAGATTTTACGTCGTTAGCTAATCGCGTAATTTCTTCAAGCCGGTAATATATTTACTATGATATTTTACGCCGTTCACATATCTTGTTTAAAAATAGAGAAGCCTTTACTGTGCTCTTTTCTGTTGTAAAGCACACAGGAAGCAGCTAGAGCAAGAAAGCAGTGAAGGGGGAAATGTAACGAACGGACGCTGACATTAATCGATCCGACAACGTCGCATTGGACAAATGGTTTTAATTTTCTACGGAACCTACTAGCTTCTATCAGTCATCAAAATAATTTATTCTGCTTGAGAGCTCGTAAAAACTGACATACAATTGGTAAAAATAAGACTATTACTACACAATGTACGTTAATTGAAATATCCTAAACTCGAACACGAGGGGCGTGATAACAAATCAGTCTAAACGAAAGAAATATCCTAATCGAAACAAAACTGCCTTTGGTGGTACACGTTTCGGTGTCTAAATACAAGAATAAACATAGAATAAAACATAGAATACCTCATCCCCTAGTCTAGAACTCTAGTACTTGACGATCCTTCTAGCCATCTTCCATATAATTTAGCAATAACACGTGTCTCGTTCACCGAAAAAAAAAACATAATCCCACAATTCCTAGGTATGGAGAAAGATGTTTTTCGTCTTGTCACGAGCGTGGGACAAAGAAAAAATTCTGAGTCCCCTTGAGGAATCGAACCACAGACCTTCGCTTCCGCGCTCTGAACTGTTGGCGGGCAGATAAAAAACAAATAGTGTGATTTGTTACATAGAATATTCACAGCGCTGAACTTGAAGCTAAGGAAAAAAATATGGAAGGAATAGCATAAAACTGGTTAGGACGGTTTTATATGGCTGAAATAATCAGTAAACGATAGAACAGAGATAAAAATTCAAGCTCGAGCGTTTTTCGAGTGGTCAGTTTTCAAATGCCTCTGGTCTATGGCGTGTATGGTGGCCGAGGACTGCCACACAAAATTTTACAATTTTTCAAAGATTTAATAAAAAAATAAAAGAAAAAAATCAAAACTGAAAGTAAAATGGAACGTGACTGCAAAACAAACGAAAAACAACGATTGAAAGTAAAATGAAGTAGCAAGCAAATTTAAAAGCAAAAGTAATTGCATTATCAAAGTAAAAATCATTTCAAAATTAAACTGAAATCCAAGAGCAATTCATGGCGAAACTAGACCCTGTGAGCAGGGTAACTGGGATACCTGGATGGTACTGGATCCTTGGAATCAAGTGTAGTGATACTATGGGTGTCGGACTAGTATACTGAAATAGTGAGCCCAAGTCTGGCCAAGGGCATACACCTATTTCAAAACATAGGCATGCTATGCATGCAAGAGTTATTTTTTGTAGGGTGGGTGGATTACTTGAAACATTGTAAGTGGTCTACATTTTACAAAAGGAAAGAAGAGTATTGACGCGGAAAAGAATGAAAATGTCGAATTACCTCACACACAGGTATTTTGTGGCAGATTATGTGTTGTGCGAATAAATGTAACCAAAAATAGACTTTATGGGTGCCACGGATACCTGGTAGTACAAAATGCAGACAGCAGACTGCAGACCGGATCCAAAATATAGACTGTAGACTGCAGAGTGGGTACAAAATGCAGACTGAGAATCTGAAGATTTTTTTACGTCTGGTATATAATAAGTGTCATCTTACAGCTTACCAAGCGTCACACAATCGCTTTTCCACGATCGGAAATTTTCAACGTTTGGCCCGTTTGGCTCAGTTTCAAATGCCTTCATAACATGATCTACTTTAACAGCACCATCACTGAAAAATATGTCAAAATGACGAAGCCTTCTATCAAGCATCACACTCCACGCGTAAAACGGAAAGTCACGAGTAAGGAAATCTAACATCTCTCATCTTTGTAATCCTTCCCTGACATATTTCAGCAAAGCCTCTTTAAGATCGGCTTTATTTTTCCACAAGGCCTCTCTGAAATCTGACATCAAAATACTAAAAAACTCTTCTAAATCACTCAAGATCAAAACAACTTCACAACTTGAGTAAATGGACACCACAGAACGCACGATGGGACATACAATCACGCCCGCACAGTATCATGGCAGTGGCATCCCTCGGCCACAGCGATATTTAATTAGACTTTCGTTTTGATTTGATGTTGTGTTTATTTTTTATTTCTACGTGAGTTTCCCTTGGATTTCAGTTTAATTTTGAAACGATTTTTACTTTGATAATGCAATTACTTTTGCTTTTAAATTTGCTTGCTACTTCATTTTACTTTAAATCGTTCTTTTTCTTTTGTTTTGCAGTCACGTTCCATTTTACTTTCAGTTTTGATTTATTTTTTCTTTTACTTTTCATTAAATCTTTGAAAAATTGTAAAATTTTGAGTGGCAGCTCTCGGTCACTATAGGCGTGACATACCGCTCAAAATTCAGCCAGGGTCGGCACAGTTAGATCTGTCTTCGACTTCAGTTTGTTTAGCGGTTTTCTTAAAGCGATGCCCCTGGGGATCCTATTGAATATCTCTCCCGTTTGGCACTCGTTCTGGTCGAGAACAATTTTTATAAGTCATGTTCCTAATTCGATTTCGGAAGCATAACCTCTTATTTTGGCTTTGTTTACCGTCACTGACGTATCGCTTTTTGCCTCTCAGTTTAAAAAGGTCGTGTGATCGGCCGCGTGTGAAGGTGCAGCGCACCTGACTCCTTACGCACACACTGCGAATTATAAGCTATATAAGTAACGAACTCTCTTTTCCCTGAAGCCTGAGTTCTATAGCCTCTCGTTTGAACCTGGGTTTCTTGCTCCAAAAAGAGACTCAGGCTATGTAACACCAATTTGTTACGCAAGGCTTTAGTCCAGTCCCAGACGGTTAGAATTCAGCTCGTTGCAAGGTTGGCGGGTTATCCCGACATTTCGACTGTTCGGCCAAATGTGGATTCTTCAAGGTCAGCAAGGAAGTTCACATTTGGAAAATACAGGTCCGTATCTCATTATCTTCATTTCACTTATTGACTTAACAGCGAGCTACTGCATCTCTCCTTCTCGGAAAACCTACGCCATGTTTTTTTCTTCAGGTATTTTGCTAACGGTAGGAGTGGATCATGTAGTAGGAAGAAAGGGTAAGTCTGATGCTGGTCGCGTTGATTTTCTGTTTGTAAGTCTCGACCGGCTGTAGTCTGCTCCAAACCTACCATGGCGTTTTATGGACATGAAGAGAATTTAATAAATGTTTCATTGCTGATCGGGCTTCATGCATGTGTAAGTGTTGGTGATGGAACGATATTTCTTTACTCTGAGAACAGTTGAAGAATTCCATCGGTTTTCTTTCGAGTCTGAATGACTCGTGGTCTAAATTTTTAGTATTGCTTGAAAAACAAATATTCTAATCATACTTAGAGGTTACTTTTATTTGATTTTACCGCACGAGTTAAAGAAGTCATTAGTTGCATATGCAAGCTCAGGTTTTATGAATTAATATAGTTGTTTCTATGTTTTTAGATTGCCCAATTTTAATACAAGGTGATGCTTCCATAAGTCGCAAGCACAGTGTTCTCACAGTTCAACACGATGTGGCTCACTTGGTAATCAATGTTTATTTCACTTGTTTCTTCACTTCTAATACTGTAGTTTTCATTGGAGTGTCAAGTTAATCCAGACTTCCTTTGCTTTAGTTTTACCTCACTCTGGTGTTGGTCAAGAAAACTCTTATTGTCCTTCAAACTAATCAGAGGCAAAACAACACCAATCGTGATTTGGCTACTTATATTTCTCACACTTACCACAGTGATCTGATTTAGTGCCTGGGGGGGCTTATTCACTCTGGTTACCTAAAGGAAGGGCACTTATTCGAAACAGGGTCCTTAATAGGGACAGATCACTTTAATGCTTATTTGAAAAGGATTTAGTAAAATGGAAAATGGAATTGCTGTCCCTGAATTCTTCCAGGCTAAAACAGTTTAAGCCAAGCAATCACCACAAATTTTAAGATGAGATCATTTGCTTTAAGGAACTGTGCACTCACACAGACATAATAGCTGAAAGACTGAGATGAAGGCCTTTGTAATGAGGCTATGAATGAGCAATTACATGTTGATCTCAGTGATCGGTAACAGTGCTACTGCTGAAACAGGATAGGGGCATGTTTTGTTACAGGGACGCTTATTGGAATGGTCACTAATATACATTGTATTAAGGTATTGAGAGAAGGCAATCAGAAAACTTCACACTTTAATTAGATCTATATTTCTATTTTTATTGACATGAATGAATAAATTTTTCCTCTTTTCATTAGCTGGCAGTATTTCCTCTTGAAATAAAAAAATTACAAACCCTCATTGATGAAAAAAATTGACAGGATTTGAGCTTCAATAGTTACCCTATTTTGTTGCCTTGCTTAGAGTGAAGAGCTAAAGTGAGAAAAAAAGGCATGAAAAGATTCCTATCAATTTCATGTGTATGGTGGAAGAAACCCACAGTAATTAGCTGGCAGTTTTTCTCCATGAAATAAAAATCACAAACCCTCATTATTGAGACAAAAATTGACTAGATTTGAGCTTGAAGAGGTGCTCTATGTTTTCCTGGTGTTGCCTTGGTAAGGGTGAAGAGCTTAGGTGTGAAAAAGGCATGAAAATATTCCTTGACAATTCCATGTGAAAGGAGGAAGAAACCCCCAATAATTGAGGTGTACACGGGTACTCTTTTTAATTCCTTTTATAATTACTTCACACTTATCTTACAGAATGATCCAAACAAAAGGTCACAAGTGGTTCTTCAGGACTGCTCCAAATATGGTACCTCTGTTAATGGGGTTAAAATCAGAGGAACATTTAACTTGAAAAGTGGTGATGAATTATTGTTTGGAAAAAATAACAGCTATTACATGTAAGTAGTAAAGATATTTTTTTAAATCCCTTATATTGAGAGAGATCTATATACAGTCTTTATAAAGGTAGTGCTATTTTCTCTTCAGGTGAAGCAGTCTTATATATTTGACATTGGTCAGTTTTTTGCCTCAATTTTTTTTGTTTAACCCCATGAATACACCTTGAAAATAAAGATCAATAAATGTCTCATGTCAAAAAGATGAATAAAAAACCATTGATTCCAGGCCAGTGAAATCTTAGAAAGCTTTTGTAATGCAGTCAAACCAAATCCACTGGATTTCTGAATTGAATAATCTGGCTATGGATTCAATTTTTTTTAAATTCATTAGTAACATCTAAATGTTCATGGACATTTGTATACTTGGATGATTGATGTAAGATACAGAGAGAGGAAAGATAAATTCTGAGCCTCATCATCAGATGAGGAAAGATGAGTTAAAAACATTTTTTCACAAGTGTAACACAAAAGAAAAAGTTCCTGCTGAGGATTCTTGTTACAGTCAGTTTTGATTTCCAAGTCAGATGACCTCCCCTGTAAAGAAGGGAGCTGGTCTATACTCTACCTTAGGTTTGTTATGGGTATTGTCCTACTTACTTCTGAGTTCAACAATTTTGAAAACTTCCATTACAGGGAAGTCTTGCTATTACTTGGTGTATTTTAAAAATTGTCACATTCAGTTTTGACTGTCACCTCTGTTGTCCATGAGGGCTCACAGATTTTTAAAATGTTTCTTTAAGGTTAAAGTACAGTCCTTTGATTGTTTGTACATCATGTCTTGATGAAAAAAAGAAAGAGGCTTTGAAAAGTGAAATTCATGAACTTGGTATGTATCATAAGGGAGATTTGTAACATACCTGAAAAAATTACAGGTTTCTTACTGGCTGAAAATGAGTTCTTTTTTTCATGTAACACGAGTGCAAATTACAAGTAGTGTGCATGCTGTCAACATTTTGTCTGTCTTGACTTTCTGTGATGCCTTTTTTATGTAAATTATTATTATTGTTATAGCATGGTTTCTTGTGCAATGGTGTAAATAACCACTTAGAAATTTTTCAAAGACTACAAATTGGACTTTCCCTATGTGCTTGTGCAATTTTGTTGTCTTTGAAAAATTTACTTGAGCTTCATAATAGTAAAGTGCACTCAAAATCATGTTATCATTGATGCTAATCGATAAAAATTATTTGGTTTTGCTTAGTGTAAATGGTTTATACCTCTGTGAAAATCTTTAAACTCTAATAGTGGCTATCATTCCAATAAAAATAAGTGTAATGTTTCTTAACTGAAGATACTTGGAAGTGAGCAAGTGATAAAGATACACCCTATATGACAACTACATGGAAAAATGCCATCTGAGCAAAGAGAAGAGCTTTTAAGAAGTATCTATATGAAAGGACTCAACAAAACTGGGAAGAGAAAGTGAAATGTTGCAATGAGGCAGTCAGACAAAGAAGAATTGCTGTATGGCAATACTGGAAGAAAAAGACTTCTGACCTTAAAGAAAACTCAAGAAATTTTTTTGAAAATTTTTAAACTGTTTCTTGGCTCTAGGAAGGGGGTCATGGGAACTGATATAAACTTAAAAGTTGACAGCAAGATCATTAGCAACCAAGAGACTGTTGTGGAAATATTCGCAGATCATTTTGAAACAGTAAATATATGTTATTTGCCGGCTGGGAGGTCCGCATGGTGAAAAACTGTGACCGAGGTCTTGAAAATTCTACGGCTGAGAGCAGCATTTCAAGACTGAGGTCACAGTTTTTCACCATATGGACTGACCCATAGCCAGTAAATAACATATTTATTTTTTTTAAACTTGACGAAATTCTTTCCGAAAGAACCCAAATGATTTAAATACGGCAAGATCTTCCATAAACTGAACAATTTTTGAGTGAGTAAATGGTAGTTAAAATAGAGGTGATGCAAATTTAGGAGAGATGCCTCACTGAAACCTTTTTTATTTCCGTAACGATAAAGGTGATTTAAAAGGCTTCCAAACAAA